GTAATCATGCAACATTCATAATTATGAACATCTGTCCTTCTTACTGTCATTTCGTTAGCGCACATTTACCCAAACCTTTAGGAAAAAGGAAAAGAAAAGATCTCATTTTTAAGCTCTTGAGAGCTGAGAACTAAGCTGAATTATTTCCTGTGATTATTGCTAATGTCATGTGACCTGATCGGATTTTGCACGGGACAAATAGAAATGGCAAACGGACAGTCTCTTGACAGTGGATAAAGAAAATCCTATCCTAAAGAAAACCCCGTATGGATTTTACGTGTAGCGTATTAGCGTGGGCCTGACAGATTTTTTTGTTGTTGTTTTTGTTTTGTTTTGCTGTATATAGAGTTTTAATTTCAGATATTTTATTCACTGTCAAAACTGTCTTGTTGTCGTTGGCTGTTGTCTGTAGTTCACAATGGTTTTTTATATAAAAATATAAATAAAAAATGGCCCAAGATATATATATATATATATATATATATAAACTTTTTCTAAATAAAGGCACGATAAGTAATTATAGATCGTACAATTGATGTAAATAGACCTAAGTGGGAAATTCCTTATTCTCAAAAAATCTCAAAAAAAAAAAATATATATATATATATATTGCACATATGCTGCACATATACACACAATTAGGCTTCATCTTCTTAAATATTAAGAGTATAATTAAAATATCTACTGGGTTCTACCAGATACAGGGTCAAATGGTAGAAGATAACACTTTTATATAAAGACGACACATTATTACCATACATGTGCACCTTTTTTTTTCTTGTAAAATTACACCTTTTTTCCTCATAAATTTCCTTTTTTTTTTCTCTAATATTGTAAAAAAAATTTCTCGTAAATTTGCAACTTTAATCTCCGTATTTTATTCATGTGTTTATTCTCAATGTGGCCCTGATAGTTACATAAGAAGTCAATGTAATTGAATAATTCCCCAACATGTTTAGTCTCTAATTGTGAATGATGAAAAAGTGAAAGTCTTTCCGGAGACAAATTTGCCACAGGGATTACCATGGCAACAAGACTGCAACAAAAATAAGGCTCTCCCAGAAGAGGACTTTATAAATGCTATACAGTGCTTTTAAACTACTCATGTTGCTCCGATTACCAGCAGTTTTTAGGTTGTCTTCACAAAGGTGTCATACTGGTGCAATGTGGTTATCCCCCCTAATCTTCACGACAGCTGTCTGGACTTAGCAACCGATGACCGTAATCCCATTTTATACCTTGAAGAAGCCACCAGGGTGCAAGGCAAGGCAGAGTGAAGTGAGGGCGATTGCAGAGACACGAGAAATTCAACATCACGATGGGAAATAATAAGAGTAGCGCTTTGTCAAAGGAGCTCTTAGCGGAACTCAAGTCGAACACTAAATACTCCGAGGCTGAGCTCTGCTCTTGGTACCAGACCTTTCTGAAGGAGTGTCCTAGTGGGAAGATCAGCAAGGAGCAGTTCAAGGGCATCTACGCCAGCTTCTTCCCAGATTCGGACTCCACGGCGTATGCTCAGCACGTCTTCAGGAGCTTCGACACCAATGCGGATGGAACGTTGGACTTCAAGGAGTACATTGTCGCTCTGCACCTGACCTCCGGGGGAAAGACTTTACAGAAGCTAGAGTGGGCTTTTGCTCTGTATGACGTGGACGGGAATGGAACCATCAGCAAAAATGAAATTTTGGAGATTGTAAAGGTGCGTATACCCTTCTTTTTTTTTTAATTACCGAAGGGAGATTTTCACTTAACAATGACTGACTTTTAGTACATTTAAGTAATTTAAGTATTAGAACTTGAACATCTCAACATACTGGGAAATGGACATTATGAGAGGATAAACTGAAAAATGTCAGCAAATAAAATTATATATACAATGTATGTGACATATACTTTCAATTTTATCATATAATACTCCATTTAAATATCTCATTAGGTCCTTATGAACATATTATTACATATATTTTATAAGAGATGTTTAATCGTATTTGATAGGGATGTCCGATATTAGCTTTTTGCCGATATTGTCCAAACACTTTTTTATTTTGATATCATCCGATACTGATACATGCAGCCATTTCCCCCCCGAAGCTGTTTATAGGTCACATCACAAATCTCCTATCGTGGAATTACCACATTACCTAAATTTATTGTGATGCTCCACCAAAGCCATTCCACAAATTAGCACTGTCTGTACAAAATATTTTTAAAGCAATTCCAGCATACCTGGCGAAACCCAGGCATTACATGATTGGGTTTTCATTATCACAGGAAAAAAAAGGATAACGATTCTTACCGCTGTTACGTAATTTTGCTAATATCGGGCCGATAATATCGGTTGGCCAATATTATTGGACATCTCTAGCATTTAAATTTATTTAATTTTTTTTTGAATTTTCAGTATGAAATGTTAAGACTCCTGTATTCAAATGTTCTTGTTTTTTTTTTTTTTTGTATCATGCAGTCAATATTTCAAA